CTATGAGTCGCAAGCGACTCAATGGCACATAACAACAACAAGAACAATATGCAAACTGAAATGTCAGCAGTGTCACTCCACTAGCCACTCAATGGGAGAAAGATGGGGTGATTTGTTGTGATAAGAATTACAGTCTTAGTGAGTCTTAGAATTCAGAGGACTACCAGCAGTTAAAATCCATGAAAATTATTCTCTGGTTGGTTAGGCAGGGCAGGATTGTTTTAGAATATAAACATATTTCATGGAAAATACCTATTAGAGTACCTGGCGTCTTATTATATGATAGATACCATTTCCTGACAGGGTATGCTTTTATTAAGAGGATAATGAACAACAGAAAATGGACTGAAATCAGTGTACGAGTGTAAGATGGATGATCACTAAAGAAATGGGCAAAGAACAAAAGTGGAACACAGTGATCTGTTTTCCCTTTGGCATTGTTCTCTAAACGTGTTTTTTGTCTTTCATAAATCATGGAACAGAAGCTCTGGTAATACAATGGTTAAGTGTTCTGCTGTTAACTGAAAGGTTGGTAATTCAAACACACTTAGTGGCTCTGCAAAAGAAAGACCTGACAATCTGTTTCCACAAAAATGATACTCAAGTAAATGCTATCGAAAAGTTCCACTCTGTCCCATGATGTTGCCTTTAAGGCATTCAAGGTGGGAAATATTAGGGTGTCTCTCTCCTTAACATCCTTTTTACATTTTGTTTCATCAACTTGTCTGAACAATTAAAGAGAAAGCTTAAACTATGTAAAGAGTGGAGATACTGACATGTAGAGAGTTGGCCCTGGATCCATCCCACACAAAGAAGACACTGGAAGCAGGTCACCTACAGAGATCATGAGGTCTCTGTAAATTCTTCAAAGGCAAAAAGATAAATACTCATTCTATATGTGCTCATCTGCTTCCGAGCAAAGAGTTAAATCAGAGGGTCGCTTAAACATCCCTTCAGCTCAGAAAATTTGATACTACTTTTTCTAAGACATTTTAAAGGACAGGTCACTAGTTCTTACTAAGCACATTTCTATTGGATTAAAGACTACTTGATAAAATCTTTTGCAGTTTTACAATAGATTCTCAGTAAAAATCAGCAAAGAATGATTTTTCTGTATATAGCCAAACAAAAACTTTAGTTATTAAATAAAAGCCACTTACAAAATAAAAGGCTGCAGCCTGCAATACTTGGAGGGAAAAACAATAAAGGCTTGTAATATAAAACTGTATCATATAAAGCCAAAGAAAATGTGCTCTCTTCCAAATGAATATGATTTAGAGAGGATTATCATCCAGGGATCTATC